CTGTTGATCAGCTGTTTCTATAGGTTCCTGCTATTTCTAGGGATTCAGACAGCTCTTCACATCCTCCCTCTCTCTTTCCCAACAGAAGCCTCAACCCTTTCTCCCTCCACAAAGGTATTTTTCCTTTTCTAAGATTCTCTTCCTTTTGCCCCTCTCCTGGTTCCAGAGGCCTAGAAACCCCAGGAGTGGTAAGCCAGATCTGAAGGCTATGGGGCCCCAGAGGGGTGGGGGTAAAGCAGGGGGAGCCAGGTGGGCTGCACTGGGGGTGACAGTGGAGAAGATGGGAGAATAAGAAGCAAAGCAGGGAAGGTGCTTTGAATCTAATTAAGGTAGAGGCGAGAGCAGGAGGGGAGCTTTAGGGAGGGGATGACAGCTGGCAGATGATGAGGGGGCTGGGGCAGGGGCAGACCTTTCCAGGGAAGTAAGAGCTGTTTTTGAGCTTGCGAAATGTGATGGCAAAATAAAATGTCCCGGCCATGAGCACGAGGGAGAGGAGGGCAGTGTTGGGCAGGGCCTCACTGGGCTCGGGGTCCCAGCTCACATTGTAGGCATAGTTTCTCTTCAGTGGGTGCTCTTCAAATATCTAGAATGAGGTGGGAAAGGAAAAAGAGAGGGCCTCAGCTCAGAGTATCTTTTCCCCCTCCCTCTTCAGCTTCCAGGCCTGCCCTGGGCTCCTTCCAGGCCCTCTTTGCCCAACCCCTCTCCCCACATCCATCCCTAGTTCCCTCCTTTGGTCACCATGGTAACAGAGTGGTTCTCCTGATTTCACAGCTCAGTTTCAGGGAGGAGGAGGATATGGCTGAGGGCATCCTGGGCCCCACCTTCCCTCCCCCTCATCGTTAAGTTGTGGGGAGTGGGCTAGGGAGGGTGAAAACCTGTGAAGATGAAAGATGGGGGATGTGGCAAGAGGAGAGATGAAATTCAGAGAAGACTGGGCAACGGAAAGAGCCCACCCCACCCAAAAGGGGTATTCAGACAGCAGCAGAGACACCTTGACATCTAGTCCATTCTCCAGACAGCAAACTGGGAAGTGGAGATAGAGGCACACATACACTGCCTACGTCACAACCCTAACTGCCATGAGCAAAGAAAACAGGAGAGGAGGAAAACACAATAAAGGAAGGTAGTGGCTTAAAACCCTCGAAAATACTCCCACCCCCCACCCCAAGCCCCAGGCTTTTGCTGGTATCTACACTGGAAAGGCTTTTGAGAGTCCTTTGGGCAGCAAGGAGATCAAATCCATCTATACGTATAGATACAGGCTATTCACGGGAAGGTCAAATACTGAAGACTAAGCTTAAATACTTTGGCCACATAGTGAGAAGACGGGACTCGTTGGAAAAGACCCTGATGTTGGGAAAGATTGAAGGCAAAAGGAAAAGGGGATGGTAGAGGATGAGATGGATAGATGGGGTCTTGGAAACAATGAATATGGACTTGGGCCGGCTTTGAGAGACAGTGGAGCATAGAAGGGCCTGGCGTGCTATGGTCTAGGGTCACAAAGAGTCAAGACCTAACTGAACAACAAAAACATGGTCAGCAAACGTTACTGTGTGCCAGGCATTAAAGTAAGCATTGGGGATACAAGGAAAGACAGAAACTTGGCTCCTGCCCTCAGGGAGCTCACATTATAATAGGAGACACTATGTATGTAAACTGTGTACATATAAGATCTATACAGTATAAATGGGAGGTCATCTCAGAAGAGATGGCACTGATAGGATTCCTGAAGGTGGGATTTGAGTGGGAGCATGGGTGGTTTTAGTACAAAGGTAGATACTTGCCCATCCAAGGACAGGAGGCTGGAAGGCACACACACAATGTGCTTGGCCACTGGCCACACCTCATCCAGACGCATGTGGCGTCCCACAGGTTGGTGCAAAGACAGCCATGCATGCAGGCAGTCACACATACACACACACACATACACACACACACACAGTGCCCTGACCGTGATGAGTTTGGAGAACGTCTCATAGATGAAGATGAGAGAGATGAGGACGGAGAAGATTTCCTGGGTATAGAGAGAGATGTAGCGCACCAGGAAACTTCCCTCAAAGGCCACCACCAGGATCACCAGCAGCACCAGCCAGAAGCCAATCCACACCCGGCCCACGATGTATTCGAAGTTGTTGCTTTCACAGAACTGTGGGGTAGAGGAACAGAAATGGGTCAGGTGGAATGGGGTGAAATGGGGAAAGGGAAGCATAGAGATGAGTGGGAGCATTGGGGGAAGAAGAGCTGAGGGTCCTTGTGGAGTCAGGTTGAAAGTAATAGGCTCCATCAGAGAGGGATGAGGGGTGACACATAGGTGTAGGAAAGAGGGGATGGGGCCAGGTCACGGGGAAAGGGCATTCTTACCCCGAAGAAGGCCTCTTCAAAAACAAGCAGGGGTCCAGAGAAGCCAAGCACAAGCAGAGGTTGGGCACCCAGCAGGGCAAAGAGGATGCCCTGCACTGCTGTTGAGATGAGTAGTTCTGACACCCCCATCATGTTCTGAGTCTTGTCTCCTGAGGGGCAAAATCAAAAGTCAGATAGAAGTAAAAGCTGGGATGAGGACAGCAGCTCAAGAGTCCCAGAGTTGCTGGGAATAAGTCAGAGGTCAGGGCCATGGCTCTGAGCCCTGATGGTAGTGTTGTTAGAGAGGACCTATGGATGTAGGAAGACTGGCGATGGGTGGCACTGACCTAGGAGGCCACCAAAGGTGATGGCAGGTGAGAGGGCAGCGAAGTAGATGAAGACCACAGCCGCGAGGACCTGAGGGCTAAGCGCATCTGTGATGTCACTCAGGTACTTGGGGTACCGGCGCCGAGCATCCCGAGCCACACCCCCAAAGAAGTTGCCTGTCCTCTGTAAGGGGTCATCCTGGCCCACTGGACCCCCATTCAAGTCTGAAGGGAGAGGGAAGAGAGAATTTCATTCAGACACCTCTCTCTCCCTACTTCAGGCCCTCATTCTTCGTCCTCTGGCTCCCCGGAGGGGAGATGCATCAGGCAAGGGTTGGAAGTGGCTAAGGTGATGGAGTTGGCTGGGGTGAGGAGAGAGGTCCAGGGGCTGAAGATAGTGGGAAACTGTAGAATGAGTTATTTAGCAGGATGTGGGGGGTCCTGGAGAGAAGGAGGAAAGTGAAGAGTGGGGAGGGAGGTTCATAGGATTTAAAAGTTCAAAGAGACTTTGAGTATCCAACCCAAACCCCACATTTTACAGAGGAAGAATATTTAGCTGGAACAGAGGGGAAATGACTTGCCCTAGGTCACACAGAGAATTAGTGGTCAAGTCAGGATCTCTATTCCAGGTTCTCTGATCCCAAAGTCAGTATTCTTAACTCCATCAGGTGAGGGGCAGAAGGACAGCAGTAGTTAGGGGAGACATTGAAGGGTGAAGCTAGGAGTGTGAATAAGATCTCACAGTGCCTACCTAATCCCTTGAAGAAGTCAGGATCAGGTTCAGAGGGGCTGAGCCTGTAGCGTCTTTGAAGCAATTCTTGCTGTACAGGTACCAAGGTGCGTAAGGCTGACTCTGAGGGTGCCTCTGTGGGAGGCAGCACCACGCTGCAGTCCAAGAAACCCTCAAGACACTGAACTAGCTGCTTGCGGTCATGGGCTAGGTAGGCATCTATTCGGAACACCTAGGGAGGAAAGGAAGAGAGGTGAACATGGCATAGACCCCCACCGGGGCCAAGCAGTCCCAACTCCTAAGCTTCTGGTAACTCAGAACCTTTTGAATTAGCTCCATCCTTACCCCTAGGAGCAGGCTTTTCCCCAAATTTATAGGCTCATATATCTGGAGCTGAACGGGATCTTAAAGGTCATCTGTTCTAAGCTCACTTTTTAGATAAGGAAGAGCCAGAGAGGGGAAAATAATGGACATATAAAGAGATGTTATTCGCATCCAGAGAAAGAACTGATAAATAGAAGTACGTGTAGAATAATTTTACATACATATGCCTATTTGTGTCCAACGGTTGCCATCTCTAGGGCAGAGTAAGGAGAAGGGAAGAAAAAAAAGGAAAAAAGAGAAATTTACATGATAACTATTGTATATTTGGAGGGAATAGCAAGTTTTACATAGTAGATTTGCAGTTTCATGGACAATCATCTTTTTTTATTTGTACTATGTTGTTAAAATGCTTGTTTTGTTCCCTGAATTGAAAATAAAATAAATTAAAAAACAAAACAAAACAAAAAAACTAAAAAGATAAAGAAGGCCCAGAGTGGCTATGATTTGCCCAGGTTCACACAGCTAGTAAATAGTGGAGCTGGGACTCCATTTCTGGCTCAGGGACACCAAGTTGAAGGGTCTTTCCATTCTGCTCCACATGCTGCCCTCCCCACCCCTGCAAGGGCCTCATTTCAGGACCAAGGAGGATAGTGGAAGGAACAAGAAAGACTGAAGCAGACTGAAGTGGGTTAAATCAGAATGATGGGGTTACAACCAACTGAGCCAAGCTGATCTAATCCAAACCAGACTGATGTAGGCCAGAACAGGCCAGATCAAAACACACTGGGCCAAACCAGTCTAAACCACACCAATCTGGGCTGAACCAAGTCAAGCCAGGCCAAACCAGGCTATACTGTGTCTGTCTCCCACGCCTGGAATGGATGCACTTCTCACCTTGATCTGGAGCTCCCTTCAAAAATCCTTCAAAAATCAGCTCCAAGACCACCTGCTACGTAAGGCCTTTTCCTGATTCCTCCTCACCCCATCACCTTTGCATATGCTTATTTCACGTGTACCTATATGTGTACGTGATGCCTCCCTCATAGAATATATGCTTCTTGGGGGCACGGACCATTTCATCTTTGCCTCTGTATCTCCAGGGCTTTGCACAGTGCCTGACATAGTAGGCGCTTAATATATATGCTTAGGGTGCTGCAGTGGATAGAGGGCTGGGCCTGGAATCGGGAAGACTCATCTTCCTGAGTTCAAATATGGCTTCAGACAGGTCACTGTGTGACCCTGGGCAAGTCACTTAACCCTGTTTGCCTCAGTTTCCTCACTATAAAAAAATGAGCTGGAGAAGGAAATGGCAAACCACTCTAGTATCTTTGCCGAGAAACCCCCAAATGGGATCACAAAGAGTTGGCACAACCGAATAATAACAACAGCATATACGCTTGTTGATTGGTTGGTTGGTTGGTCGGATGGATGGTTGGTTGGTTTATTGAACCAGGTCAAAGCAGGATGAACCAGGCCAGGCCAAATGAAACCAAACTAGACTGAAATAGACTAAACCGGGTTGAATAGGTCAATTTTGGTTAAACTAGATCAAATTTGGAAAGACTGGATTAATAAGGCCACTCAGGCTAATGATTACGCCTAGCTGACTCTAGGTTTTTAGCTCTCCCACCAGACCCTCCTCCTGCCATTTATTGTATTCTCCAGGAATTCACACCTACCCTCTCAGACATTAAGGTGGCAGCAGCCCGGCCAAGTTGGGTGTAGTCCACGTGAGGGATCTCAGGCCCTAAGAGCACCAAGAGGAAGCGGACAGGTATTGGGAGGTCTACCACTTCTAGGCTGGCTGCCTCCTGAAGCCTCACAAAACCCAGGATGGGATGTTCCAGGAAGGAGGCACGACCTGAGGGATGAGAGGAGAGGAGGAGTTAGGAAGCCAGGCAAGGCAGCACTTTGTTTGCTTTGTGGGAATGACGGCGCTGGGTTAGGGTTTAGGGACAGAGGAGGGCTTGTGAGAAGGAGAGTGGAAGGCAATGGGGAGGAGGTAGGAAGAAGAGATAGGAAATCCAATGATATGTAGCTGGCAGAGAGAAAAGGGCTGGATACAGGGCTTGGGGTGGGGCCAGGATGGGGGCAAGGAATCTGAGAGGAAGTGCAAAGAACTCACCCACTAATACCAGTGCGGCCTCTGAGTTAGGAGGGATCTTCTCCAGGATGTGAGACGGCCCTGGGTGGTCTGAGGAACCCTCTCCCTGCCAAAAGGGAAGGGATGTTGACAGGGGGCTCTGAGCTATAGTCACTGTCTTATCGCTCTAGGCCTCCTCACTACCTCACCCTCCCCAAATTGGTATATCACCTGGATATCCTGGACCAAAGAAATCTGAACTTCTAGTCTCTCCCAAAAGTATTTCTTTTTCCTCTGCCCCTTCCAGCTCAAACTCTTCTAACCTCTTAGTCCCCAGGACCCTCTAGCCTCCTTGGGCCCCCAATTCTTCCTGTTGGCCCTCTCCCCAGCCATACCTGCTCACAGTAGATCTGGTTCTCCAAAGAGGGATGTTGGGCCAGCAGGGGCTCAGAGGGCTCTCCTGAGCGGTCCAGCACAATGGGCTTTACACCTCCCAGAGCCTCTAACTCTCCCTCATGGCTAAGGAAGACAAAGAGGGGTCAGGAGCTAAATGGGGACCAAGGAACAGGTGAGCTATTCCCTGGGGCTTCCACAATAAATGAATGAGTGAGTGAATGAATGAATGAAAAGATGAATGATAACACATTTATTAAGTACATACTCTACTCCAGGCACTGTGTTAAGAGGCTTTGCAGTGGCAACCTTGGGGTAAGATATCCTCCTGAACAAATCAGAGCAGTGCATTTGGTGCAGTGGAAAGAAATTAGAAGCATCAGAAAATCTGGGTTCAAATCCTTGCTCTTCTATTTACAACTTACTGGGGCAAGTTCATTGCTCTGGGCTTTAGTTTCTTCCTCTATAAAGTAAGGGTGGATATGAACATAACTATATGACCTCTGAGGACCTCTGCAGTTCTGAAGCCTATGATTTGAAGAGGGCGCACAGATGACTTCTCCATCAAGTTTTAGAATCTTGGTAGATAGTATTCTATCAGAAATACTGGAGACATTACTGCCTAGAGGCAGAGGAATGGATGAATAACCCTTTGAGATCCTGGACCCCCTTAGAGTCAGCTAACTCTAGAGAAAGTTCTGGATGGTGTTGCATGCACACTCTAAAATTTCCATGCTTGGAGTAGCTAGGTAGTGCAGTGGATAGAGCACTGGCCCTGGAGTTAGGAGGACCTGAATTCAAATCAGGCCTTGGACACTTACTAGCTTTGTGACCCTGGGCAAGTCACTTAACCTCAGTTGCCTCCAAACAAATGAAAAATAAAATAAAATTTCTGTGCTAGAAACGGGAGGAAGTAATCCCCAGGCTGAGGCTTCTACCAGGGGCTGGGTAAGCAAGAGAGGAACTGGGGTTGAGAAAAATATCCCTTGAGGGTGCTGTCAGGACCTTCCTAATTTTCTACCTGGGGGCAGAGCTCTGATGGATTCACCCTAGTTACAGATCAGGGTCCAAGTGCTAGGAAGATGCATGTGTAAATATGTGGGTGATGGGGAGAGGTAAGGTTACCTGTGTTTGACCAGCAGGGCCCTGAGCAGCACATCCCGGTCCTGGGGCCTCACTTGACCTTCATAGATGAATTGGTCTAGAAGCTGGTTGACAATCCCAGGCAGGGTGGTCTCAGACAGGTCCAGCATCACAGTGCCTAGGAAGTAGCATGGCAAGATCAGGGTGGGGGTGGGGGTGGGGGAAAGGGACACTAATCAAACTGAGAGGGGCTCTCTTCCCTCTACTTAGGAGTTAAGAAAAGTCCTGCCCTGACTTCACATGTATAGTGGGTGTCATATCACCCTTTTTGATTGGGGGGGGCACTGGAGGGTGGAAGAGAATTTGGAACTCAAAACAACAAAAGAATACTTAAAACAAACAAACAAACAAAAAGAAAACATGGGCCCTGCTTCCATCTCCCCATCAATATTCCTTTGTGGAGATCACAAAGCACCACTTTGATGGGCCTTTCAAAAGGGCAGTCAGCATTTCTAGGAGAGCTGGCTAGGAAGGGGGGCCCAGGAGAAAGGATTCTCAACGGAAGTGGGATTGGAACCCAGCATCTCTGCTCACCCTTCTGAAAAGTTTTCCGTAGTTCCAGGAGGCTCCAGAAGGTTAAGCAAGAAAGGTGGGGGCGACCCCAACCCCCGGCCTCAGCCCGGTTCTCCTCCAGTCGAACCCAACGCGCCGCCTCCATCCATTGAAGCTCCTGGTTCTTCCCATCCATCACCAGCTCCTGCAGCTCCACATAGACCTAGCCGGGACCCGGGGGAATAGGCAGGTTGGGGAGAGCAGACAATGGGGCCATGGCAGGGACTGGGCTCATGGTAGGAACTGGGTAAATGAAAATTGGAGGTAACCTGGGTTCTAGAGTTAGGACGGGCAGGCATGAGAGAAGGTGGGCATTAAAAGGAAATGAGAAATTTAGGTCTAAGGAGAAGGCTAGAAGTGGGGAGGGGGCATGCTACCTGGACTGGGTGAAGAAGAAAGAATGCAGTGGGAGAAATATCTGGGGAGGGATGCTGGACCCCTGGTTCTATTCATCTGCCTACTTTCAAGGTTGCTGCCTGGTCAAGCAGTGAACCTCGTCCTTTCTCTCACCATTGAAGGTACTCAGAGATCCTTGTGGCAAAAAGGATTTCCTACATCATCTCTCTATCCTGAGCCAGAGGGGCATTTGGGTTGTTATCAAGAAAAGTACTGGGTGATAAAATTTAATTTAAATTTTATGTATATATATATATATAAATTTAATTTAAATTCTATATGTGTGTATATATATATATATATATATATGGGGGAGCCTAGCAGAGCTGGGGTCCAAAGCCAAGAACCAGCTTTCCCAACTGGGCAGAACTGGGACAAGATCAAATATTGTAACAAGTGAGTGATCTGCTTCAAGCTAGAAAGGGAAAAGAAGGGACAAAATTCTCTTAGCCTTGGCCCACTCCTGTTCTGGGCTGGGGAAGTACAGAGAGCTTGATTCTGGCCAGGTTGAGGAAGGAAGCCCTTGGTTCCTAATCAGAAGCAATGTGGAAGCTTCCTATGCCTGAAAGTGTTCTGGGCTTCATGGCCTAGGAGACCGGGGCCTGTTCTCCATTCCCTGGGGTTTCCTCTCTTCCTCTGTCAACCTCTTGGGAGAAGGAGAGAAGAGAAAGAGTGTGCGTTTGTTTCCTCTCTCTCTCTGCCTCTTTCTCTACCTCTCTTTCCTCTCTCCTCTCCTTTCCTCCCTTCTCTTCTCCCTCATGTCTCTCAGGGGTCTTCTCTCCCTCTCTGCTTGATTCTTTTCCTCATATACCTGTCTGGAGATTTCAGGGGTCTCATTCTCCCCTTCCACTCACATACTCCTCTTTTATTTTTCCTTTTTCTGCTTTTCTGGGGTAGGAGAGGAAAACAGGTCTTCTTGCCCCCTTCTCCTTCACCTGTCACCTCCTTTCTCACGATAGGGGAGAGAATGTGTGGAGCTCCTACCTCACAAGGGGCTGGGAAGGCCCCTCAGACTGGGACTGCTCACCTCGTGGATCCTTGGGTCTGATTTGGTCTGGTAGTCTGCGGCTGTTGGCTGCTCTTCGTGATCTAAAGACGACAAAGATAGGTGGATTTTGCTCACCGAGTCCAGCAGAGTCCCAGCCCTCTTATACGTAGAGGATGCCCTCTGGATCCTTCACTCACTGCTCTGCCCAGCAACTGAAGACTTCAGAAAAGGCCTTACCCACCACTCCACCACATCACCCACCTGATGGACTTTTGCTTGGGGACCCAGGACAGTCATTATACCTTCTTACTCTAATACTTAAGTTCCGACAATTTTCCAAGCTGATATCTATGAGGGCCATCTACCGGGGATGTCCAGTTGTTAGACCAGAGTACCTGGATTCCGATTTTGGACTGGAGAGGTAGGTAATCTAAAGTGCTTAGTCATCACTGAATAGTCACTATCAGAGTGACTTTTACTGTAGGCTCCCCCACTCCTTTTCTTGGGTTTTGACCAGATGCTGTCTTCCTAACACACATGTTTCCCACCCTTTTGACCCCTATCCCCACCCTCAACCCAAGACCTGCCTCTTACCACTTTCTGCACCAAGCTCAGGGAACCACAGGACCAGTTGCTTATATCCTGTCCTTATTCTCTCCCCCCCCCCAAAGGACCCCCTTCTTACTGGGGCCCCTTGTCTTTACTAAAAATTGCTGGCACTTAAGTTTTATTGACAGTAAACAGGTACCTGCCCTGCCCTCTCCACTTGGAACCTTGGCGAAGCAGAGGGTGTGGTTGAGGATGCTGGATCTCTGTGCCCTTGACAGTTTTCCCTTTCCACTCCCCCCACATCAAGGGTTGGGGGTGTGCATGGCAAGAGTGGAGGGCAAATCATTCCCTTCAATGAATATAGGGGGACACTGCCCTAACCCTTCCCTCCCTTCTAGTCTCCCATACTGATGGTGCCTCTAAGAGGTTGATGCTAGGATTCCCTAGCTGCCAATCTCAGGTGCAGGTCTCAGCGCATAGGCTGGAAAACATCACTGGACAAGCAAAGATGGCAGACAGGCTCATATCCATATTCCTTAATCCCCTGGTGAGGCTATCACACCTGCTCACCTTAGGTAGGAAAGAGGGTGTTGTATTCCTGGGGCTGCCTTCTCACACACCTAAAAGCCTATGGGTGACTGATCCTCCCCCTAATAGCCCCTTGTTCTCCTTCTCCCTCACTTGTGGTCATTGCAAACAAAGTTCTGTTTACCCTTCAATCAATCTCAATTGGGGCCGGGGGGGAGAACTGGTCACTGAAGGTTAGGTGAAGGAGGATAGGAGAGGAGGTGGGATGAGAAGCATATTCCCCGTATGTGGTGCTACCATAACATACAGTTGTGCTGAGCAGAAGGGAGCAGAAAGTGAGTAGCAACAGAAGGAGTTGGAGGGAGGTCAGACATTCAAGCATAGGGGTGACTTACCTGCTTGTTCCTCCCCAATCTCCTGGGGAGGAGGGGCCCCAGGGTCATCATAGCCCTCAATCTCCAGACTCTCCTCCAACACCAATTCGTTTATCTGCCAGTAGGAGTTTGGGGGAATGTAGTGAGTATCACTCCCTTTCTGGTGCCTCCCCCCAATCCCCACCATAGAAATCTGGGGTCCCAGTCAAAGGTCCTCTGAGCCTATTAGGGACATAAGACCTGGGCGGGGAATGGATGGATAGGTAGAAAGGACCCACCTCCATGGTGTGGTTCTAGATGTTCAAGTCTCTAGCGTCAGCTTCAGCCCAAGCATACCCCGTGCAAGGGGTACCTATTAAGGGAAATAGTCTCAAGGTAAATAGGATCATCTTCCAATTGATAAGAGATCCCAGAAGTCTTTCTACTTTTCTCCCCCTACCCTTGATCAAAAAAGTAGCTGCACACATACTGAGGCATTTGGGGGGGTCTTGGGATCAAAGGTAGTAGAGTGGAAGTTGGAAAGGATGGACCCCATGTATTCACAGAGGCCTATTTCCCATTTCCCTAAGGATGGAGGAGGGTGTTGTGATATTGGTGTGCTGGATGGTAACCACACGAGTCCGGAGACTGTAGGAGCAAGGGCCATTATTCCAGGGTCCTTGCACATACATGGGCATTAACTCATATAATATCAGAGTTGGAAGATACTTTAATTAATTAATTTAGTTTTAGTTTTCAGCATTCACTTCTACAAAATTTTGAATTCTAAATTTTCTCCCCATTTCTCCTCTCCCCCACCCCAAGATGGTGTGCATTCTGATTATACCTTTCCCCAATCTGTCCTCCCTTCTATCACCCCCCTTCTTTTATCCCCTTCCTCTTTTATTTTCCTGTAGGGTAAGATAGATTTCTATACCCCATTGCCTGTGGATCTTATTTGGAAGGAACTTTAGATCATCTAACTTTTTATACCCCTAATTTCACCCCTAACTGAGGCCCATAAAGAACAAGAGATGCCCAAATTTGTAGCAAATCAGTGGTCAAGCCAGAACTAGAAAATTATTCCAGGGCTTGACTCTGCCAAGTTTCAGACCTCAGTTTTTTCCATCCTCATTCCTAAGGGGCTGGGAAGGAGCATTGATCTGAAAAGAAACCCTGCTGTTTGGATGCCAAAGGATGGATAAGAGAACCCTAGAAACTGGATAATAGATATCAGCCTGGGGAAATACCAGCGTGGGGTCAGAGGAGAACAACAAAGAATAGGGCCAGCAGAACTCATTTTTGTCTAGCTACCACAAAGATAGGATCAAAGGAAACATTGAAATTACTGACACACTAGAGATTAAAGTTAGACCATTTCACATCTGATTCACAAATATATATTGAATGTAAATTAAGAGTGTGACATTAGTTCTGGGTATTATGGAGAAGATAAAGTAGGAGATATAGTTCCTGCCCACAAAGAGCTTACAGTATCTTTAGAGGAATAGTACATAAACTGACAAAAAAAGTTTAAAAATGAGCTAGACAATAGTATAAGTTCAGTATGGAGCCAAGTGTCAAGTGGACAACAGAGGGAGAGAGCTGTGTTTCCCTGGGCTGGGGGATGTGGAATAAGCAGGACCTTGAAGGTTGGGTAGCATCTGGGTAAGGATATTCCCGATTGGAGTACAAACTTAAGGGACAAAAGTGTGGAGGTGGGCCAACATCAAACCTAAGCTCAGGACTGTGTCAGTACAGGGCAAGGAATGAACAAATCAAAAATTCAAGAGGAGCTTACTTTCTGAATTGGGAAGAAGAGATAGTAGGGTCGATAATACATTCTCCCCTTTACCAACGCTCCCTGCACTTGGGCTGAGGAAAGTAAAAGATCAGAAGAAAGGACAAGATGATCTTAGAAAGGTTCGAGATCTTAGAAACAGCTGGTTTAAGGACTATGTTTTGTAGATCCCCTTGGGGCTTGTCTCATTAAAGAATCTTTGGCAGGGAGATCTGTGCAATGACCTGCATGACCCCTGGGTCATCAGTTAGTACTTTTCTAAAAAGCTCAAGGAATCACAGCACAAACTTCTTTCTCCCCATCTCTTTCTCTCTTTCATTCTTTTACTTTTCCTATCATCTCCCTTTCCCCATTCTCCATCTTCTTTTCTCTTCCTTCCTCCTTCTTTTTTTACATCCTTTGCTTATACTTCAGACCAATTAGTGGCATCCACCAGTCTAGTTCACCCCCGCTGGGGGCCCAAGGGAAGAGAGATCACTAGTCACCTACAGGGCTGGGAGACTCTGGGCTGTGGTGTAGCCCCCTCCAAAGGGTGCAGTGTG